CTATAGCAGCAGCAGCAGCAGCGGAGGAGGAGGTAGCAACAGCAGTCGCTACTCCTGCTCCTGCTGCTGCTCCTGCTGTCCCTGCTCCTTCTGCTGCTGATGGCTGCGTTGCATTCGCAGCAGCAGGCGTTGACGAGACCGACGAAGGAGGAGGAGGATGGGAAGGAGCAGAACGAGCAGCAGCAGAGGCCGACGCAGGGAGCAGGGGCGCGGGAAGGAGGGAGAGCGGAGGGGGGGAGGCGCGGGGGAGCGACGTCGCAGCCGCGGCAGGGGAAGGGAGCTTGGGAGCTAGGAGGGGGGAGGCGGAGAGGGGGGTGGCGGAAAGGGGGGAGGCGGAGAGGGGGGAGGCGGAGAGAGAGTCCTTGAGCACCTTGTGCAGGCGCACGGGGGAACTCCCGGGGGGAGGCCCGCGCTTCACGCGCTGCTTGGGCGGTTGGTCTGTGGTGGCGCAGGCGGGGGAAGGGGGGAAGGGGGAATAAAGAGAGGGGGAACGAAGAGCGGGGGAAGGAGGGGGTTGAGGAGGAACGCGGCAGCGAGGGGTGAATAGGGATTGACGGGGGTGACGAGGGATGAAGAGGGGTGACGAGAGGTGAAGATTGAAAGACACACAGGGACGAAGAGGACTGGCAAAAAAATCAAGTCAAGAAAAGGTGAACCTTGAACAACAGGGGAGAGAGCGGACGAGGGGAGAGAGCGCCAAGCCAGGGGGAGGGCGGAAGCGCACCTGGGGAGATGGAGGAGAGGGGTCGGTGCGAGTCGGGGTCGATGCCCTGTTCCTTGAGGCGGCGCTTCATCTTGGTGTTCCAGTGGTTCTTGATGTCGTTGTCCGTGCGCCCTGGTAGCTCCAACGCGATCTTCGCCCACCTGCACCGCACAGCACCGCACAGCACAGCACAGCACAGCACAGCACAGCCCAGCCCAGCGCGCACCACGAGGAGGAGAGGAACGAGAGGGGAAGAGGTTCAATCAAGGAGGGGACGGAAGGGTGAACACGGCGAGCATGGCGGATAATAAGGTCCTCCTCGCCGTCCGAGAACGCCCCGCACCAACCCCTCCTCCCCAATCCATTCTCCAACCCCCTTACCCCCCACCTCCCCCGCTCCTTCCCCACAGCCCGCCCACCTGTTCCCCACGCGGCGTGCAGGCGGATTATAAGGTCCTCCTCGTCATCTGAGAGGTCGCCCCCCCCTCCAACCCTTCCCCCCCACCCGCCCTCCTTCCCCCACCACCACACCTGTTCCCCCACGCGGCGTGCAGGCGGATAATTAGGTCCTCCTCGTCGTCCGAGAACGCGCCTCGCTTCAGATCCGGGCGCAGGTAATTGGCCCACCGCAGCCGACAGCTCTTGCCACACCGCCGCAGGCCTGCATGGGGAGAGTGGTTGCGGGAGGAAAGAGATGGTCTAGGTTTTGTGTGGGAGGACGATAAGGGATGTGGAGGAACGACCAGGTCCTTGCCCACCGCAGCCGACAGCTCTTGCCGCAGCGCCGCAGGCCTGCACAAGGGGAGTGGACGGAGGGGAGAGGGGGAAGAAGGGGGGTGTTAGGCGTTGGTGGCCGGGAGGAGGACAAGGAAGGAGGGATGTGGCGGAAGGGAAGGTCCGGCCGCTGGTAGTTCGCCCCCCGCAGCCGACAGCTCTTGCCACACCGCCGCAGGCCTGCATGGGGATAACGGGATAGAGCGCATGAGAGAAAAAGTGCGCGAATATCATCCTCTCCCGTGGAGCGCGGATCACCATTCTAAAAAATAGGAGGAAATGACGGCGCGCAATTCCCATCCCTGCGACGGTGCTGCGACAGGACGAGGCGCGTGATTGGCAATCCCGCCTGACCTGCGCGCTTCGGGATGGAGCTCCAGTTGCCGTCTCCGTATTGCTGAATACACTTCAGCAATAGCTCATCCTCCTCCGCCGTCCACTGCCCCTTGCGCAACTCCCCGCCATCCCCCCCGTCCCCCGCATCTCCGCCATCCCCGCCGTCCTCCGCGCCCCCCCCGCCGCCGTGCGCTCCCCCCATATCCTCGTCCTCCTCCGCCTGCTGTTCCTCCGGCCCCTCCCGCCCCTTTTGCGGAGCCTCCACGCGCCACTGCGCCTTGCCCTTTCCCCCCTCGCGCCCCTCTTCCCGCCGAGCTGCGCCCACGTTATCCCCGCGCCCGTGCCCTTGCCCGTGCCCTTCGTCGCCGCCAGACGCGCAAATAGCGGCGGAATCGGCGGCTACGGCTGGTCGAGAAGCCGCCGGTCTCGACGCGCCCCACTGCGCGCCACGACCGTGGTCAAGACCCGCGGAGGTAGTCGCCGTCGCCGCGCTGCCTCCCGCCATGAATCAATTTCCGCGGCCGGTGCCGGTGCCGTTGTTGTTCCTGCTGCCCTGCTGCCCTGCTGCCCTGCTACTGCCGCTGCTGCCCTGCTGCTGCTGCTGCCCTGCTGCCCTGCTGCTGCCCTGCTGCTGCCCTGCTGCCCTGCTGCTGCTGCGAACACTACTCCGGTACGAAGAACGTACTAACTCGGTTGTATAAGCGCCTCAAACACGATCCCTCTAGATCCTTAGCGGTTGCTGCAACGGGAAAGGCAGCACCCCAATCTTGTTCCCTGTCGTTTCTTTTTTTTTCATAGGGCAAGGAGTTGCGCGAGGAAAAAGAGAGGAACGTTGCGGGGAGAGTCGCATCAGTCGCGTACGGAGAGTCGCGTACAGTCAGTCGTGTACGGAGAGTCGCGTATGGTCAGTCGCGTACGGTCAGATGCGTACGGTCAGTCGCTTACGGTCAGTCATAGAGTCAGACAGTCTCATACGTTCAGTTCAGATAAGAACATAACGGACCGCAGATTATCGCGTACTTACTTTGACCTATCAGCGATCAGTTCTTGACAAATAGGGAAAAGAGGTCGTGAGGTAAGTCAGGAGACGAGATTGGCGGGAGGATCGCGAGGTGCGAAACAAGTCTCATCTGGCAGATATTCTCATCCAGAAAAATCCAACAGGTAAACTACTGGAAGAATTGTTTAAACTCCACGGTTTTCCGACACGCGGTAAACTCGCGAGCCCGTTCACGCATCCAAGAACGATTCGTCGATTCTTGACTTGTAAGTACGGCCGTCGGTCGTTCCAATACAGTAGCTTCTGGCGTCGACGTAGAGAACCTAGCGGAAAAAAAATCACCAAGAACCTGCGGCTCCCGTGAGGTAGGGAGCATCTGAGATGTTCACAGACAGACAGCGAGAAAACAAATGGCTCCTCGGGTAGTCCTCGTACGTATCCTGCACTGCAGCACTTCACTGCACTAAAGCGAAGCAGCACCACACGAATTTCCAAAAAACACCAAATTATCCCAGCATCGCAGGGGTCCCTACTGTGGGTGTGCGGCTGCTGGAAGCCCATGGGAGCATCATCAAGAAAGGATGTGTGTGGGTTGGAAAGCAGCACAGCAGCGGAAGAAACAGGGGTTTGCCATAATGTTTGAGTGTGGTGAAAGGGGTTATTGAGCCATCCTGATCTGGTTATGTGTGGTGTAAAGGTTTAAAGCATATTTGAGAAAGCGGGGGAAGGAAGAAAACGGAAGAGGGAAGCGGGGAGGCGGAGGTGTACTTCAGATGGGAGGGAGGGGAAGGGAGGCGGGAAGAAAACAAACTGGGGAGGTTGCCTCCCTACAAGCGAAGGTAGGCTAGCGGGAGCCTAGCGGCGGGCGGGAGGCGTGTTAGGCGGGGGGTAAGCGGGTTTGCTCACATCAGAGCCCCAATGATGGATGGGCGGAAAACTGAGGCATGGAATGGCTTTGGGGGTCAGACAAAGAAACTGCGGTCAGGGTAAAGAAATAATGTTATTCTGTGTTTGTGTGTAGAGTACTTCACGATGTAGTTCTGCGGCAGAAACCATGACGAGCAGGCCATCTCATCAAACTAATGCTCTAGGTTTTCCCGGGCAAGCACAATATGTTTTCACAAAGGGGGTGCTGGGCCGTACAAATTACATGGAGGAGGTTGCGATTGGCGGAAAACAAGGTCGGAAAATCATGATTCCGTCAAGAAGATTTTCGAAACCTCCGTGACAGATGCGAGGATGTGGCTGTATGTTATGCTCAGGAAAGCTAAATAATAGTAAGAATGGAATGGTGTTGTTTTAGCAATGCAAGACTATGAAAAGCCTTTCTATCGTTGACCATTGCATAGTATTGCTCGTCTAATTAGATGGCTTTGATACGCCACTGATATGAGACCTCGGACCACCTCAAACTGCTGAATGAAAATGTATGGCACATGTCAGGTCTGGCACATGCTGCCCACACTAAGGCAGAACCAGCAGGCTCCACTATTCAGCAACATTTCACCAGCTACTGTGACTAACCAGCCACTTACGCTGCAGCCTCTGTGTCTGCTTCCTTTGCATCAGCAGCAGCAACCGATTCCTTGAAATCCTCAGCAACCTCCTGCACGTACGTGCTCAGGGACTGAAGGTCCCGCCCGCCAGAGTACTTCTCCTTCCCCTCTCCCTTCACAAACACCTTGAGAGTGGGATATCCGCGGATCTGCCATACCATTACAAAAGGAGCCCAGCCCAACAAACATAAATTACAAAAATGGCTATATATGTAATTTTGGAAGCCAAAGACCGTAGACCAGCATGTGCTGCATTGCAGCATTGCTACATTCAGGCAATATGCATGCCTGGAGTACAGGTGATAAAAAAAGTCACAGAATAGTTTTTCCAGTCTGAACATTGTTAGTGAAGATGTTAGGGAAGGCAGCCAGGTCAGGACCATTCTCTCAGCTGGTCAATAACTATATCGACAAGGGGAACAGCACGCGGATAAAGAAGTGCACGCGCGAACGCTCACCTCCTGCGATATGTCTTAGAGAATTTTCGCGAATCCCTCACCTCCTGCTACATATCATTGAAAATTCTCAGAAAGCGCTCACCTCCTGCTCCTCGCACACGCTGCGCGACGCCGTGCAGTCCACGTGCGCGATCACCACCTCCGGCGCCACCTTCGCCGCCGCCAGCTCCGCCCACGTCGGCGCCAGGCGCTTGCTGAGTCGGATCGGCGGAAGGATCCGCGGCAGGACGGGCGGACGGGAAGGAAAGGATTGAATGGGGGTAAAGAAGGGAACTGGATGTGAGCGCCGGGATATATGGTAAAAGGAAGAGGCGATCTTAGCAATGGGAGGAACGCGATAGAGGGTGATTGAGTAACCGATCGAGAGCTCGAATATCATGGCACGTCGGGAAGGAATGGCTTGTGTGTGGTTGAAAGGACGGGGAGGAAATGGAAGAGGAACGGACCAGTGACCACACCACGGCGCGAAGAATTTGATAAAGTATGCCTTGGAATGATCGTCGATCTGCAACAGATACGAAACCACGGCAGAAAAAATAAAAACAAAAGAGCTTGTGATCCTGTAGTGGCGAAAGATGGAAAAGGCACGCGCAGAAATCTGGGAACCACGGAACGGTAAGGCAAAGAGAGGGAGAAAAAATGCTGGCTTCACAAGTGAAGGCTTTCACGCAGCTATGGCGTTGAGGCGAAGCGGGAAAGAAGCCGCGAAGAAGCTGGATCTCACGGTAGATTTGAAATTCTTCTCGTCGAGAACGAGCACATCCTGTGCTGCGACTTCGGCTAACGCAACGCCGAGAAGCGACAGAGCGACGAGGATGAACACGGCCGCGCGAGCCATGGCTGCCGCTAAGGATAAGCTTGGAACGAAAATATGCAGCCTTGAGAAGCGAGAGACAAAGAGACTGGCTTTATTCGCAGCCTCTCGAGGATGGAATCTGGTATGGTCGTTGAAAATCACGGCAAGCAGGTTGAGGACGGAGGATGGGTGGGTGCAGCAGAATGGATGGAATGGACAATCTCGAATTTCTGAGCTGTTCGGGCATGGTTCGGTTCATTTTTCGTGCTGTGCGGTTTCGACCTAAATATTCACGGCTTTAGGGATTGCAGTGCGGTACAACGACGAAAATACCATAATTTTGGATCCGTGACTCATGCTGGTTCGATCCCTTCCAGGGCGTGCCTGATCTCGGTTGCAACAAGCTGATAACGAGGTCAAAACGCAGTGCAGTGCAGGAATACACTAACTCAATTCTCAAGTCATAAGGACTTCTCATTCTTGGTTGCAAAACATAGTGGACCATGAATCCACCTTTGACAAAATCAACACGTCTAAACCACATGTCGAGTCTTATTGGCGAGAAAAATCCACTGTGATCTGATGCCCTGCTAGCAAGGACCTGAAGCCAGCGGAGGAAGGGAGGGGAGAGGGGGAAGGGGAGAGGGGAGAGGGGGTCGGATGGATGAGCTTGGTTTGGCTTGGTTTGTGCATTAAAGCCCTGAACAATCAGCCTGAACTGCTCACGGCATCCCTAAAACACAATTATACTGCATCGCTTGTGCCTGCCACACGATGATGCATTGCGCAGCTCGAGATTTGCACACCGTGTACCCATCATATACCAATGCATCATGCATGTCACAGCCTTTGCGACCCCTCAAACATTATACTTTCAAATCAAGCACTATACCCATCACGTACCGATGCATCATGCGCTTGGCAACAGTGGCTGTGCGGACCGAGTCAAATGTGAGGAGGAAGGTTCCACTTGAAAGGCCCACATGCTGCCACACGGGGCAAGATTCGTGGAGGGAGGTAGGGAGGGAGGTTGGGGGAGAGGATGGCTTGTACTCAGCTTTGTACTTCACGGGAGAGTGAGACGGGGCAGGGTGGGGGAGGGTGCGGGAGGGGGGGAGGGGGGAGAGGGAAGGGGGGAAATTGAAGGCAGAGGGAGGCAGGGGGATGGAGAGCAGGGGGAAAAGCAGGTGGCGGGTGAGGGAGAGTGAGAGCGAAAAAGAAAGCGGCAAATGCCCTTTGGTGAAACACACAAGGGCACGGGCGGGTACAAGAAGGGAGTGGGTCAACGGGACTCACCCCAACTCTGCCGACTTTGCTGAATGCACTGATGATTGTCTGCACAGGGGTGGTAGTAGGAAGGCCCCCCACACGCAGCACTCTGAGAGTAAGACACAGTCACGTAGTGGAACGAGAAGGGAGAGGAACAAAGTTGGGAAGGGAAATCCTTAGCTAGCGGTGCTGAATTCCTTTGCACGTTAGCGGTTGCTGGAGGCACTAGAAGATGGTTTGCGCCAAAACGGAGGAGAGAAGGGCTCCCCACCCGTAAAACTAGTACAAAAACAGGCGCGATAGGTTGTGCGATAGGCGCGAGACGAAAGCGGAAGTGGTAAGGAAGGGGAAGGAGGACGGGGAAAGGGGGAACGAGAATGAAAACGGACCATTTCGGCCCATTTGTGCAAGCGGTGCCATGCATGCACTTACTGGGATTTGAGCTGTGATGAGGATAGGTCCACCACAGAAGTGGCACCACCAGGACCCCCGGCCGTGGCTGCTGCTGCTGCTGCTGCTGTTGTTGTTGCTGTTCCAATGCTTGCCTTCTTGACTGCTCCAGCAGCCGCATCACCAGCAGCATTAGCAGCACCATGAGCACCAGCACTTTTTGTACCAGCACTGTTTGCACCTGTGCCATTGATACCCGGACCAGATCCCACAGTGCTTCTCCCGCTCGCCACTCCAGCTGCAGTGCTGCCTGCAACCTTTACGCTGCCATCCCGACTTGCTCCTGTCCCTCTACCAGCAGCAACAGCAGCAGCAGCAGCAGCAGGAGCAGCAGGAGAAGCAGCGGGAGAAGCAGCGGGAGCAGCAGTGCTGGTGTACCCATCTCGTTTTCAGCCGAAACCGCCCCCCCTCCATCCCACGACCCGCTGTCCCTGCTGTTGATGTTGCTGTTCCTGCTGCTGGTGGTGCAGGTGCAGGTGCAGGTGCAGGTAGGGTCTCGGGTGCAGCAACCCCTGCTATTTCTCTTCCTCTCGCTCTTCCAGACACCACCCCAGGTGCGGGAACCCCTACCACCTCTGCCCCCCCTCTTGCTGCTGCTACTGCTCCCCTTGCTGCAGGAGCTGCTGTCACGGACCGCTCCTCTCTGCCAGCACTCACAATCCTCTCCCCTGCTGCTTCCGCCCCCCCTCTTGCTGCGGCTACCCCCCCCCTATTGGTGGTGCTGCTGCTCCTTCCCCTCCTGCTGTTGCTGCTCCCCTTGCTGCAAAAGCTGCTGCCATGGATCGCTCCTCTCTGCCAGCACCCACCATCCTCTCCCCTGCTGCTTTCATCTCAACATACCCCCCTCTTCGCTCCTCCGTTCTTCCCCCTGTTTGCCCCGCAGCTTGACCCACTGCTCTTGCCCCTGTCTGCCCCATTTTTTTGCCCCCAGTTTCTTCCCCTGTTTGCCCCGCAGTTTCTTCCCCTGTTTGCCCCGCTGCTTGCCCCCCTGATTCACCACGAGGTAACTGACCAACTCCACCTCCCAGGCCTCTGCCTCTTCCTCTGCCTTGCACAGCTTGCTGCAATGGTTCTTCTACACCCCTTTCCATCGTCCTTATCACCTGCCTTCTATGAGGCGCGGAAGCAGCAACAGCAGCAGCATCAGCAGGAGCAGAAGCAGGAGCAGGAGCAGGAGCAGGGGCAGGAGCAGGAGGAGGAGGAACAGCAGGTGCAGCAGGAGCTGCAGGAGAAGGAGCAGGGTCGGGGACGGGAGGAGGAAGAACAGCAGGCGGAGGAGGCAGGGGACGACTAAAAGCAGCTGTGGTAGCACTACCACTAGCACCAGCACCACCAGCACCACCAGCACCACCAGCACCACCGGCACCACCAGCACCACCGGTACCAGCAGCACCACCGGTACCAGCACCACCGGAACCAGCACCAACAGCAACATCAGGGGCCGAAGGTCTCTTCACTTGATTCTGCTGCAACTGCAGCTGCAGCTGCTGTCTCAGCTGCATTTCCTTCTGCCGCTGCTGCTGCTCCCACTGCTCCTGCACCTCATCTCTCCCCACCTTTTCCGATTCCTTGTCACCCCACAACGACCTATGCCTTTTCCTATCCCCCTCCATTTCTCTCTTTCCATCCCTATCTCTACTTCTCCCTCTCCCTCTCCCTCTCCCTCTCCCTCTCCCTCTCCCTCTCCTCTCTCCTCCCTCCCGCTCTCTCCCGCTCCCTTTCCCAATCCCTCCTGTCATTCTCTCTAGCTAACGGCCTTTCCCTCCCTCCCACGTCCCTTTCCCCTCTAGCAGGCAAAATCCCCCGCTCATCTCTTCCCATTGAACGATACGCATCTCCTCCGCTTCCCCCAAATTCACCTCTTCTCTCCCTGAATTCACCTCCTCTCTCCCTGAATTCCCCTCCTCTCTCCCTGTATTCCCCTCCTCTTTCCCCAACTTCCCCTCCTCTCCCACCCACATCCCTTCCTCTCTCCTCAAACTCTCCTCCTCTTTCCCCCCAACCTCTTCCTTCCCCCCTCACTTCCCCTCCCCTGCCCTCCCCCCTCCCCCTTCCACTCTCCCCAAACCACCCCCCTCGCCCACCCCTCCCACCAAACACCCCCCTCTGCACCTCTCCCCCCACGTCCCTCCCTGGAACCTCAATACCAGGGGCCCAACCCAATGCCTTCTCCCGATGCAAGCTCAAGCTTCGGGGCATCTCAGTCTGACCGCGCTGAGCCAAGTCAAGATGATGCTGATGATGATGCAGGCTCCGTGGGGGTGGGGTCTCTACACTGCGTCGTGGGGACATGTCATGGTGCAAGGCGTCTCGTGGAAATTCGCGATGATGCAGGCTTAAGTTTGAGCTTCGAGGCATCTCAAAATTAGCCCGAGGAGGCAACTCATGATGATGGCGAAGCAGGCTCGGTGGGGTCTCTACGATTGGCCGTGGCGACAAGTCATGTTGCGTGCTCAAGCTTCGGGGCATGTCAAACTTGGCGTCAAACTTAGTGGCCCGCGCAGGCACCACCACGTCACGATCACGCACGCTCCGCGGCGGGTCATCGAAGCTTGCCCGTGGAAGCGGCATGTCATGGTGGTGCAAGTCGTGCAAGCTGTCACAGTGATGCAACGAGTCACGCTGCAAGCCCAAGCTTCGAGACATCTCAGACCTAGCCCCCCCTGAAGCCACCGCATCGCGCTGATGCAAGCTCTGCGTGCGGTCGAAACCTGACCGGGGAGACAAGTCATGGTGCAGGGCAGGGGGGGAGCGTACTCGCACTGCTGGCGTTGCAGCAGAGGCAGGGAGGGAGACACGGAGAGGAGCAACAGCAGGTGGTGGTGGGTTCAGGAACCGACCTTCCGGCTTACTGCCTGGGATACCTTGGGGAGAAGGGAGTGCGTGGGTAGCCGGATGAGCTTGGAAAGGCGGGGTAACCGGTTTGGATTGGTTGGCTGCGGTGGCTAGGGAGGTGGATGGGTGGAATCCGGTGGGGTGAGCTGTGATGGATGGACGTATACCAGCCATGATAGCCGCGTTTCTTCCCCACCCAACACGCCCTCCCACTGCTGCTGCAAGGGCCTTTGCTGCTGATGGTTCAGATTTTGCAGATTCTGTTCGTGATCCAACTGCCTTTGCTGCTGCTGCTGTTGCTGATGCTGCTGCTGCTGCTGGTGGTGGTGCTGCTGCTGCTGCTGATGGTGCACCTCCCTCTGATGCTGCATCTGCAAGAACTGAGTAACTTGATCCTTCTGCTGCTGCTGCAACTGCCGCTGTGCATTCAAGGGTGCGTGCACCTGTTGCTGCTGTTGATGCTGCTGCTGTTGAGTTGCCCTGTGTTGCTGTTGCACATGCCGCTGCGCTTGTTCCTGATCCCTTTGCTGCTGCTGCTCCTGCTGCAGCTGCCGCTGCTGCTGCTGCTGCTGCTGCGCTTGCACCTGCCTCTGCTGCTGCTGCTGTTGCACGTGGTAACCAGATACTGCAGACCCTAAGCTTATAGGAACAGCCCCGAAACCTCCTCCTGAAACAGGGTAGAGGCAAGGAAAGGAAGAGGGTGAGTGCAACGGGAGGGAGCATGGTGAGAAGGCTGGAAGGAGTACAGGCAAAAGGAGGGAACATGGTAGGAGAGGGAGGATGACACATTGAAAGGACAGCAGGAGAAAGCCAACAAAACCACCAGCATGCCACACCCCTATGCAGACCCTAAACCGCACTAACATATCTCCATAACACTCCACACCACTGCATTAGGCACTAAACCACTTCACACCGCTCTTCAGCCTGCTTGTGAGTCCTCTAGACACCACAAACGGTCTCTCTTTACCCACACAGCCCAATCACATCCAAACCACACCCACCCCACACAAACACCACCCAATCCATAACCACAATAATTCTCTGCTTACCTAATATTGCTCTTTCTCCTCCTCCCCCTCCTCCTCCCCCTCCTCTTCCTCCTCCTCTTCCCCCCCCTCCTCCCCCACCATCAACCCCTCCTTCCCCTCGTCCCGCCCCCACTGTTCCCCCTCCTCTCAACGCAGCAGCTGCTGCAGCAGCAGAGGCAGCAGCACGGGAAGGGTGGCCCGGGGAAGGGGAGATGTGGAGGGGGAGAAGAGGGCGGGGTATGGGGAGGGGGGGAGGGCCTGGAAAGGCATGGGGAGGAGCGTGGTCGGGTGGAACTCGGGCGTGCAGTGGGGGACGCTGTGGGAGGGAACAGTGGGAGAAGAGAAAGAGCGGGACGGGGAAGAGGAGGGGGCGAGGGAGTAAGGGAAGTTGGAAGGGGGGTTAGGGAAAGAAGTGGGGAACAGGTTAGTGGGTGTGAGAGGAGGTGAGAGGAGATGAGAGGGGGAGAACAGGTGGTGCGAGGAGGCAAGTCGGGCAGGCACACACATGCAAAGGCAAGGGAGACACGTACCTGCATGGATGAAAGACACAGGGGCAGAGCCGCAAGTGTTCACATGGACCAAGTCGTCAACTCAAATGACAGCAGGAGCAAGCGTGACACACCCACACACGTGATTCAGAGGCACAGGGCCAGAGTTGTTTGTGAGTGGACTCGAATACTAGCAGGAGCAAGCGTGACACACCCACACACCTGATTCAGAGGCACAGGGCCAGAGCCTCGCATCAACAGAACAACGTCAGGAGGGGGTACGTGCTGCTGCTGCTGCTGCTGCTGCTGCTGCTGCTGCTGCTGCTGCTGCGGCTGCGGCTGCTGTGCCATGCTTGCTCTGGGAGGGGGGAATCCCTGCCCTGGTTTTGCTGCCGCTGCCGCAGCCGCTGCTGCTGCCACTGCTGCCACCGCATGCGCTTGTGCAGAAGCGTTAATCCCATGGAGGGGGGGGCGCAAGGCATTCACAGGACCCATACCCCCAGCAGGCTGCATACCCTGCATACCCCCAGCGGGATTCATCATCCCACCACCTGTGGGACGCATGGCAGCAGCAGCAGCAGCATGCATGCCACTACCAGGATGCAGGAGAAAATGCATCCCGGAATGCATGCCTCCCCCGTACGCCCCCTGCACACCCCCATGCCCTTTCTGAGGCTCCTCAAAACCCATCACAGCACCACCAGCACCCCCACCTGCACCCCCAGCACCCCCTGTACCACGCATAGCGCCCGCTTGCTGCTGCACTAAACGCATGGGGCCCTGGGAAAAGGGCGCTGGGGCGTTGATATAGGAGGACAGATCATTGTGTTGGAGTGGCAGAGAGCGGGGGTCCAAGGGGGGGTGGGTTGTAAGACGGAGCGCCGCCGCTGCTGCTGCTGCTGCTGCTGAGGCGCCTATAGGAATAGAGGAAGAAACGCGGGGAGGGGGCAGATGCAACTGCTGCTGCTGCTGCTGCTGCTGGTGCTGCTGCTGGTGCTGGTGCTGCTGGTGCTGTAGGTGCTGGTGTTGGAGGTAAGGAGCAGATAAGCGAGTTGAGTGAAGAGGCCAGGGAGGTGGGGTGTGGGGGAGCAAGGGATTGGGGGACCCCGAATGCCCGCGCAGGAGGGGGAGAGACCTGCAAGAGGCAAGGGGGACAGGAAAGACGATTTCTCAGGCGGATCAAAGATCGTGAGACTGGGGGTTGCATGGGATGGAGAGAAACAGAGAGCACAGGCTATAATCTCCCTTCAGTGGGTAGTGGCACAAGGGCAGTAGCGCAAGGGTAGCATCACACAAGCAGCAGCACTCACCGTTCAGCCTCCACCCTCCTCCGTTTTTCCTCGCCCATTTCCGTTCCCCTCCCATCTCTCTTCTCCCCCACCGTCGGCTGCTGTTGCTGCTGCTCCCCCTCTTCTAACCTCCCTTGCTCCTCCATCTCCCCATCCTCCATGTCCCTCCGCTTCACCTTTTCCCTCTCCCTCTCTCTCTCCCTCTCCCTCTCCCTCTCCTTCTCCCGCTCCCTCTCCCTCTCATTTTCCCTCCCCTTCTCCCTCTCCCTTCCTCTTTCCCTCCCCCCCTTCCTCTCCATCTCCTTTTCCTTCTCCCTCTCCCGTTCTCTCTCCCTCTCGGTCCCATCAACAAACCTCTCCTGCCTACTCTCACGCCGCCTGTTACTAGACCTCCGATGCTCTCCCCCTCATCCTCCTCCTCCTCCTCCTCCTCCTCCTCCTCCTCCTCCTCCTCCTCCTCCTCCTCCTCCTCCTCCTCCTCCTCCTCCTCCTCTTCCTCCTCCTCTGCTTCGAGCACCAAATCCCCCTGATCCTCCTCCTGATCCTGATCCTGATCCTCCCCGCGTGTGTCAGCCGTTGCCCCTTTAACGCCACTCCTATCCTGCTGCCATCCAAGCCACCCAGCCCAAGCCCTCGCAAGGAGATGATACTGATACTGAGAAGAAACTCACCGGTTCAATTCCCCTACCTAAAAGCGACGAAAAGGTAGGGTTTCCCAACAGAACAAGGTATAAGGGCGGGGTGCCGCAAAGGGGCACAGAACAAGGGGTGTTGTGAATGAACCAGCTGACAAAACTCGCAAGAGCCAGAGGGGTATACATGTGAGAGGAGACGGACACTGAAATGATAGGGAAATTAGGACTCGGACGCGAAAAGAGGGCCGTTTAGGCAGGACGCGAATTAGACGGGGTGAGATGAAATTGTGCGAGTGTGGAACGATAGAAAGTGGTATGTCCGGTGGAATGTGGCATGGTAGAATGAAAATTGGTGAGTGGGATGGTAGAGTGTGGAATGGTAGAGTACGGAATGGTAGAGTGTGGAATGTTAGAGTGTGGAATGGTAGAGTGTGGTATGTTAGAGTGTGGAATGGTAGAGTGTGGAATGTTGGAGTGTGAAACCCAGCCTGGGCAAGTCAAGAAGGTGACGGAAAGTTCTCGAAAAGATCCAGGAACATCCTTGAAAGGTCCTGGAAAGGTCCTGGAAAGTTCCTGCGAATCCCAAAGATGAGCTACCAGCTGCAGCAGATTCCAACCGAAATTCAGAAGGTCTGCCTACCCATCTCCCTCCTCCTTGCCACGCTATTCTTCATGTGCACTCTCCTGTCTCTCACACACACACCCACTCTCTCTTCTCTATATGCCCCACCCATTCTCTCACTCTCTACTTCCCCCCTGCTTCCTCACATGCACTCACGCACAATCTCCCCATTCCGTTTCACGCCACCCCTCCAAGGCCACATGCTGCTGCTCTTACTGTCTCCCTCTGCCTGCTGTCCTCACTGCTTCCCTCCATCCCACCTCAGCACACCCACACACACACCCAGCAACGTTGCATCAACAACGCTGCGACAAGCACCACACATTTCACCCGTCCAACATCTGAATCCCAAGTCACCGAAGCAACACACCCCTCACAACTCTCCACCACGCTCCGACTTCCCATGTCCCATGGCCACCCACCCATATGCCTTACCCACCAACTCGGCAACCCACAATTAACTGTCCCTCTCTTCCCTCTTCTCCCTATTCTTCCCTCTTCACCGCAACAAGAACAATCACCTTCCAGGTTCTCCACAAGTCCCCCAACAAGCTTTCCCCCTTCCTCCCCACGCTCCCCCTTTCCCTCTCTCCCTTCATTTTACCAATAACGTTGCACCATCTCCCGCTTCCCCCTTCCCCCCATCATCCTCACGCCCTAGAATCAAGTCGCTCACACACTCGAAGCTAAGTCATACAACTAACGGATGGAGGATTAGTGGGAATTGGACACCCCTTTGTGGAAAGAAAAGAGTGGAAATATATTCTCGGCATGTCCTCGCTTCTTCTGTCAAGCTCGGTGTAACCGTCAAGCACTCTGTCAAGCCGTCGTGTCAGTTAAAAAGGTGCCTAAACAGATCCGTATTCTTCTGTGAGTAATCCGTAGAAGCCCTGCCAAGCAGTCCCGTTACTTGAATTGTCACGCTCCGCTCTCTTTTTAACACGGGATAACACTAGGCTGTGTCGGAAAGAACGCTACAGCGAGTCAGGGTATACGGCATGCTAGGTAGAAAGAGTGAAAACGTGCTGGAAAAAAACATCGCCCTGGATAGTTCCAAGAACAACGCGGCACTCATTCCGGAGGAAAACTCGCAGGACTGTGTAACGCGATGCAAGATTAATTCTACCCCACTAGAACGAAGCCCTAAACGGGAACGGCCGAGCGGTATTTGTGCAATCGACAGTCAGAGAAGGATCAGTGTGAATGGCGTCGGTGGATCTAAGAGGCAGGCTGGACGAAGAGGCGAGCTAAGTAAGGCAGGTAGATGGGCTTCTAGGTTAATCACCATGTCTTCAGCAGCGCCGCGATCAGCACCGGGATCGACGGCGGAGTCACCGGGATCGTGAAGTTCACCGTCCTCCCAGTCCCCTGACCGCTCCTGAACCTTGCCGTCTCCAGCATCTGAAACAGAACCACCACCAGCAGCCTTTCTGGATGTTTCCTCGAAACGAGCCCCTGGTTTTCCCTGTGGCTGCAGCGGCTCCATACTACGACTCCGTTGCGCCGACAAATTCTCCGTTTCCGCTTCCGTTTTCGTCAACTCCTGCCTTAGTGACGCATCCGCTTCCCGCTGCTCTGACAAAACCGCTGGAGTAGTTCTCGAAAACGTCGAATCCTTGAGATTTTCCGCATCAGCCGCAGCCTTTCCCGTCACGGTCGTGACCAGATTAACATCCTCGCCAGCCGGTTTCGATGTAGCTGCAGACCCTGTGGTTCCTCCTCCCTTCCTCTCCCCCTCCTCCTCCGCTTCTTCCTGCCCGTCCAGATCCTCAGAATCAAGCTCGTAGTCCGAAGCGTCAAAATCCACCATATCCTGATCGTCCAATCCGAATTCGTCCTCCTCCGCCATTTCTGCAACTAACTCGACCTGAACTTTAACCTGAATTCGAACCTGGACTCTGACCTTAACTCTAACCTTTACACTAACCTTCAACTCTAACCTTGACCTTGATCTTACGGCTACTAAGGTGCGGTTCAAAGGTTTTGAGATTATCAACCCCGAAATTGCCTTAAGATCGTGCAGTAATTTGGGATCTCGACGCAAGAAAGAACCCACGGGAAATCTACGAGGACGATTGAGAAACCGCGATTCAAGAATTCCACCAACTCAGAAATTTGGCACACAGCCCCTGACGACTTCGTAGCAACACGAGGACAAACAAAGTCCGAGATTACGGGAGAGGAACAAGGCTCTCCCGTCTTCCTTAGCCCTGACAACAAGAAAGTCTGAAGGTGTGATTATTATACGAAGTTCTAAAACTTCATGACGTTGCTTGTCAGCCATGCCTGACCAAATCTGATGCCTGATTTTTGTTTGGTTGGCTGCTTTCATTTCAAGACCCTGGTCTCTGATCACACACCCGAAATGGTTCGGGAAAACAGGTGCCAGAAACTGTCGAGCCTGATTGAGAGGCTCGGAAGGAAAGCTAACGCCACGGTTTGGGCTTCGGATGCCGCCGCGTGGGCATCCGCGCCTGAACTAGCCCAGATAAAAGAACGAAACAAAACAGACTCTCGTTAAAGCTTAAACTATGAAGGCACCATTGCAAACCACTCATTTCCCTGGTTATCAAAACTACCACACGTATCACCCTCGTCAGGAGAATGTTACAAAACAACAAACTAATTGGCATCTTAGGGAACACAGCACAGTGTGCACCCACAAAGTTACGCGAACACATTACGCACTCCTACGGCTGCTCCTTTGCGTCGACAGAGGAGTTGATAAGATGGTGTAGAAGAATGCCAGCAGCTACACTCACATTCAGACTATCCACCACCTTGAGCCTTCCTCTCTTACCTCCACGTTTCACGCCACTCCCAGCCCCCAGCCCACGCACATCCCCCACAGCTCCACCTGCCCCATCCTCTCCCTCTCCTGATTCATCCTTCACAGCACCAGCAGCAACAACCTCTCCCTCCTTCGCTACCCTCTCACCCTCCCCCTCCCCCTCCTCCCCCCCACTCCCCCACCCCCCCTCCTCTGCCGCCTCACCCACACCTCCTCCCTTCCCCACCCCTCCATCACCATCCCCACAATAACCCGCTCCGCTAATCCGCACAAGGTGCGCGCAGGCGCGCTTGACATTGGTCCGCAGCCCTGCTCCCTCGCTCCCCAGCACCAGCAGCGTGGGGGAGCCTCCGGAGGAGAGGCGGGAGATGGGGATGGCGGAGGGGTCTGCTGCTGCGCCCACCACTAGCCAGCCATTGGCGGCAGAACGGGCGAGGAAACGCATCATGTTGCTGCACTCGTGCACCTGGGGGACACATGGGGGTGGAGGGGGAGGGGGAGAGGGGAACAACAGGGTGGGGGACAACGAGGGACATGTTGTGAGTCGACTCATAGCATGGCAGGGCGGGCGAGGAAACGCATCATGTTGCTGCACTCGTGCACCTGGGGGGGACATAGGAGAGAAAAAGTGGGGGGGAAAGGGGGACAAAGGGGAAACCGGGGGTGGAAGGGGGCGCATGGGGGAACACCGCACCAACATAGTGGGGACTTCGGCCTTTGGACAGCAAAACACACGACTGCTTGCACTCTGCTCAGGTCACACAGCAGGGCGTGGCTGAGATTGTAGCGCACGCCACCACACAGCTATAGCTCAGCATACTCAAGTGTGACAACATGCTATAACTCATGCTCGACCTGCATGATCTCGAGTGCGCCCGCACTGGCCTTGGACACCACAGCGGAGAGCGGGGCGGAGTTCTTGGCGCACACCACCACGCCGCCCGCCCCCAGGAAGTGCGCCGACCGCAGAATCGCCCCCAGGTTCTGCGGATCCGTCACCTCGTCCAGCGCCACCCACACCGGCGCCGCCACTGCCGTCCCTGCCGCCCCAGCTGTCGCCCCTGCTGTCGCCCTCTCCGCCACCCCTGTCCCGGCCGGTCCTGCTTCCGCCCCTGCTTCTCCTGCACCTGCACCAACAGCAGCGCGTGCCACTGCAGCACCAGCGGACCACACCGGGAGCGCCTCGATCGGCTCTAGCTGCAGCGCAGACGCATCTAACACCAACCCCTGGTGCGGCCGGTTCCCAGACAGCAGATTCAGCTCGTGCTTGCTCACGGACAACCGCTCTACACCGCTCTGTTCCGCCACGCGCAGCACGCGCTCGACAGCGGCCTTGTCCTTGCGCTTGCCCCCGCCTTTGGGCCCGTCTTGTAGGCCTTCCTGCGTGTAGAGCGCGTGGATGCGGCGGCGCGAGGAGAGGAGCGCGGCCAGCACGGGGGACACGCCGTAGATGGGCTCTCCGAGGAGGTCAGACGGCGTGATAGACGCCCCTCCTCTGCCGCTGCCACTGCTGCTGCTGTTCCAGTCATCATCGTAGTCGCCCTCATCAGCACCATCTGCATTCTCATAATCACTCTCCTCTGCATCGCTGAACCGCCCACTGGGACCTCTAAACGGCTCCTCGGCCCGAGACCTTCTGTTAGACTGCATACCATCCATCCCTCTCGCATCTCCCCCTACCCCTCCCCGTGCACCTAGACCGCCCCCCCCGCTTCCCCCTCTCCCCCCGCCGCTCACTCCCCACCCACCTTCCCTGCTGCCTCGTGACCCCATGCCCCCCCAATCGCCCCCTCTCCCCCCCTGTCCGCCCCCTCCTCTCCCCCTCCCTGCACCCTGCGCGTTCCGCCCTCCGAATTCCCCCTGGCCCCCCCATCCCCCCCTGTCCATTCCGCCATCTGCCCGCCCCTGCGCCCCTTCCCTCATCACCGCGCGCGGAGCTCCCCCGACTGCCCTTCCCCGCCAGCCATCTCCCCCGTATACATCCCCCCTGCCTTCCGCAGCCCCCCAGTTTCCGCTTTCCCCAGCGCCAGGCGCGCTGCTGCGCATGCCCCTTCCACGGCCCGCTCCCCCGCGCCTGGGCTCCCCAAACCCTTCCCCGTCCCCTTCCGCCTCTCCCCCTGCCGCTCCCCCCTGCCCCTCTCCCCACTCCATAGCCGCATAATCCTGCGACCAACCCTTTCCTCCCCCTCCGCCACCCCTCCCTTCCCCTCTCTCGCCTCCGCTTTCTCCGCCCCTTCCCCTCCCCGCGTCTCCCCCGACCCTCCCCCGCCCCGCCCCCTGATCTGCGCCCCTCCGCGCGGCGCCTGGGGGACTGTCCACGTCCACGTTGGACCAGAACGCCATGACGTCAGCGTCCTCATCACTACGGCCACTGTCCACGTCATCCCAAGCCCGACGTCCTGTTTCCCTGCGGGGGGCTCTTCCCCTTGTAGCTTCCCCCGCGTCCCTTCCCCCCCTTCCTCCGCCATACTCCCTTCCGCCCCCATACTGCCTCACCTGTTGATTATCCCCCCGGAAGTCCCGCTCGCCCCTATACTCCTTCCGCTCACCCCATTCCCCGCCCCGCTCCCGCCCCTCACTCCCCCAGCCGCCGCTCCCCCCGCCGCCGCCCCACGCTCCCCCACCGCCCCTCTCGCGCCCCTCTCCCCGCACCCCTCTCTCCCCCCACTCCTCTCTTCCCCTCCCGCCACCCTCCCTCCGCCCACTCTCCCGCCAATCACCTCTCTCCCCCCTCTCCTCTCTCTCATCGTCCTTCCCCCCAACTGCACGAGCGCCATGCAAATCGTTCGAATCAGGCTTCCAACTGAATTCTCCCGCCTTTTTTTTCAAACGGCCTCCTCCCCCTCCCCCTCCCCCTCCCCCTCCCCCTCCCCCTCCCCCTCTCCCCCTTCCCCCTCCCCACTCCGCAACCGCTTCTCCACTCCCCACCTTCCCCCTCCGCGAATCTCCCTCCCCTTCCCCCCGCTGCAGCGCTTTCAACTGCGACAGTCCATCCTCGAGCCGCCCCCAGTTCTTATAAACCCTCATCGTCGCCCCATCCACCGGTTTCGCGCGGCTCCCCGCGATTTCCGGGCGCCCTAAGATCCCCCCGCGCCACCCCTCCGGATCCTCCCACTGGCGCTTGTCGTAATCCCCCCACCTCCGCGCAAGCGGAACCCCCGTCGTTCCGAACCCTTCCCCGTAATACTTGGTCGGCTTCTTCTCGTCCGCTTTCCCAGCCTTCTTCTTTTTCTTCTTCTTCTTCTCTCTTATTCCCAATGCCTTATTCGCCTCTCCGCCGGTCTTATCAACTATCCGCAGCCGCTCTTTCCGCCTCGGCGCAACGGAAGCCCCCGCGGAGCTGCCGAGTCCGCGCACCCAGCCCACACGCGCAGCATCGGTGGGGGAAGAGAGCGCTGCAGCGGCGGGGAAGCTGGCCCAGCTAGCGGAAGCGGGGAGCGCGGATGGCGCAGCAAAAGCCGGAAAAGCGGAGAGAACAAACGGGGAAGGCGAGGGCGCGCCAGGTCGCCAGGACGGGGCGGAAGCGGAAGCGGCGGCGGCGAAGGAGGGGGAGGAGGAGGAGGTGGTGGAAATAATTGAGAACGAAGCGCGATAATGAGATGCAGGGGATCCGTGGCGAGGCGGGTGCGGGGTCGAGCTGGCGAAACGGCGACTGGAAAGGCGAGAAGGACGAGAACCTAGGAGACCGAGGCAGTAGATATTGCTGCTGCTGCTAGAAGAGCGCACGACACTGCTAGACCGCTCGACGCTCGACCGCACGGCGCTCGACCGCACGGCGCTCGACCGCACGATGGTAGCAGTGTGCACCAACCGTGACGATACGCACGATCTCCAAACCCCAAACCCTGCCATGGCGCGGCCTCCGTGGGATCCCCACGATGGTTGCGCAGCGAGTGAGCCTTGCGCGGAGCTGGATCCTCCGCGGATCGTGCGCATTAGCGCAGGCGCGCTACCATTGGAGCACGAATCTGAGCTATGCAAAACGCACTTAGCATAAGCCGCGGACGCCATTTTCCGCGCGCCGTGGAAGCGCGGAGCAGTGGCGGCATGTGCGCAGAGAAGGGACGCGGAAGGGACGAAGCATGTTGCGGCACGCGCGGGCATGGCTGCGAGATGACAGGCAGAAGGTGGTGCCACAAGCACCGTAAGCGGCGGCTGAGAATCCGCCGAAGTTGCGAGGTTTGACAGGAAGAGGTTGTGGTTTTGGGCTGCACCATCCGCGTTGTCAGAAGTCCCTGTTCCGGGGAGCGTGCTCGCATGCGGAAGTTCTCAAACGATTGCTAAAATACACAAGGCGATGGAAAAACAACTAGCTATGAGATTGGATTTATGAACGTTAGCTTCACAATATAACAGCTAGTAAGCATAGTATCAAAATACAAGCATTAGGAACATAAGGCCCATCTCATTCAACACCAGTAGTCACTCCATCACAGCCTAGCCAACGCCCAGTACACAAGCACTCTAAAACGTGTATCACACAAGCACAAGATCCCTAGGAGCTGCTAGAAGCCATAGACCTGCAACCCCTTTTAGACGCCCACAAAAGAGACAAGCTAGCCTGGAAGATAGGAATGTGCATTCCAGAAAGGAACCTACGGCACAAGACAGGAGGCTTAAGCAGCAGCAGTGTCTTCCCGACTGACAAGCAGTCAGCCCTTTCCATAAAGCATTAGAGTTGAACCAGCAGCAGGGAGAAGGCCAAGGAGTTATCGGGGGAGGCGGTGAGTGGTGACTGACTGCCGACAAGTGCTTGATAAGGCTGGGATAAGATGAAAAGAGGAGAATCCTTAGGGAACAACTGCGCAGATACGAGTGGAGAGTGTTGCAGCAGGAAATGACTCATGGGTATTACACTGGGTCGGAAGTAGGGGCAGTAAGAGCAGAGCCATCAGATGCATGGCTCTTATTGCTCACTATGCAAGAACCATGCCTCAACCCATGCACCTCTGCCAGCCGTTGATTAGCTGAACAACATCGAGAGAGGGGAGGGGGTGTGTCGGTAGCAGCAGCAGAAGGTCAGTTGCTTATAAGAGTGCACTGCACTCAGGAGGAGGCTTGCGAGTTGTCAGTTTTCTCGCTGTAAGAGTAGTAGTCCCTGCGGCAGTCAGCCCGCGGCCATAGGAACTCCTGCGACCCCACCTCACTGAGGGGTATGCGCAGACCCGAAGGCAGGCTGTTCTCATACAGCAGCGTGCTGCCGTCTGTGATCAGGCTGTGCAGTCGCACCTTGCAGAACCCACTCCTGAAAACCACAATCAGGGGGGACCAACCGTGGGAAATAGTGGGGAAGGTGCCATGTGAACATTACATTACCCGCATGATTCGGCCTGGAAGGAGAAGGTTAAGGAGAGGGCCCTCGCTCTAGATCAAGAACCGGACCCTTGAACACAGGTTCTACCCATCGCAGCCTCGTCAGGCAGCCCCATCGACCAAAAAAACAGGAAGCAAGGAAAAAAATGGGGAAGGGAGGGCCTTACTGACGGCCTTCCAACCAGCCAGACTCACCGTTCACACGAGACAATGCGAGCCTTGGCCACGTCCTCATTGTTGTAACGCATGATGATGCTCTGCCCCTTGTGCAGCCCATCCGCTGCCTTCTTGCTGCGACTATTCGGGGAGATCTCCGTCAGCCCGTTCGCCCCAAGATGCGCCAAACCGCCCGAACCCCCTGCTCCCCCAGCACCGCCCGCTCCACCCCCAGCAGCGTTTTTCCGTTTCCTCCCTCCGACCTTGACTTCTGCAGGCGGCGGCGCTGCAGCTTCCGTGTGGAACAGCCCCCGCATCTCAGCGTCCGGATCGCAGTGCATCCCACCCCCGCCCATGCCGCCTGGGCCCATGCCTATTCCCTTCCCTGCGAGCGAGCCTGGTACCGCGCCCATCGCACCAAACGCGTCGTCGCGACCGCCGTCCACCACGTATGAGAGGTTCACCCCCCCCGGACCTGCTGCAGGGTCGAGGCACACCGGCGGAGCCACTGCAACCAAGGCAGCAGATGCAAGGTTGGGAGCTGCAAACACGTCAATACGGAATGAAAAGAAACGCAAGCGCAACCATAAACGGGATGCAAATAGGGGACACTGTGGGAGTCCTTTCTGGGCAGCGAGCGTTGCAAGCAAAACACGATGGAAAACCTACCCACGGTCTACCCGCACAGCCTTGCACGGGCAGACACCAGATTCTATCTTCCCAGGGACTCAACCAATATCACAGCAGTCAAAGCTTTTGCGACGCGAGCTTTGAGCCGATCACGGCTCAATGATCGCGATCAAAAGGGGAACCAGTGAGCAAGCCCTGCAGAACGTGCGCGGATGGATCCGCGGGTCTGCTGCACAGGCTGACCGGCGGCAGAGGTTAGCTGCAAGGGCAAGCCGTAACGCAGGTCGAAGTCCCAAGTCTCGAGCACCTGTGAGCCTATCCGGTGGCGTTGGCATCATCTGCAGAGTTAGCGTTCCATTCGCGGAAGGCATCATCCCATGGGCTCCGTGCACTTGCAACGAGCCCTGACTGCGGGGCGACGTTGCTGCTGCAGGGGCAGCAACAGCAACCAGCGCCGAGGCGGAATGGAGCAGCGAGGACCACGAACGGTGCATTGACGCTGCAGCAGTAGTACCAGAGGAAAAGAATCAAAAAAACCCACCCACCCAGCGACCCTTGGCTTCAAAAACACGTGAGACCTCAGATGCCGCAATATACCATCATTCAACCAACTAACCAGCAAGGAGTAGCAAACCTACTAACTCCCACCCATCCAGAAGCTTTCATCCTTCTCACCCCAGCCGATGTATTAAATCAAACCAACCACAATCTTGCCCTCGCAAAATCCAAACGCTCAACATGCGGGGATAGATGGCATTAAAATGACTTACTTGGCTCCGGCGCATCGACAAGCAGTGGAGCAGCAGCGCGATTGCCCTCCCGCAGATGATCCAACGGGAAATCCTCGGGGACGCAGCCATGATCCGCAGCTGAGTGCCTTATTGAGAACTCGAACACTTCCACGTGGCCCAGCATCTTCGGAAACAGCAGCTTCAGGCGTTTCTTCAGGTGGTCGATGTGCAACTCGTCCTCTTCCAGCTCCACTTCTGTCGGCCGCCCGTGCTTGAAGCGAATCCACAGCGTTCGGCGCAACGGATTCCCCGCCAAATCCGTCGGCGCGCTGCAGGCGTGAAGCGCGGATCCCGCCGCCGGATCGCCTGGGCCCTTGCGCTTCTGCAGCGCTTGCTGCGCCTGCTGCGCCTGTTGTTGCGGATCCGCCGTTTGCATCGCTCCGCCTTGCTGCGGCGACCCCGGCCTCAACTGGCGAGCCTGGTTCTGATCCTGCTGCCTCTGATCTTGCTGATCCTGATGCCTCTCCTGCTCTCCCTGCTGGTCCTGATCTGGATCCTGCTGCTGATCGCCTCTTTGGGGTGGAAAACCGGACGCGGTTGCAGCAGCTACAGCTGCAGCAGCGGCTGCCGCTGCTGCTTGAGCAGATTGCGCCATGCTAACATGGTGGAACTGCTGGTGGTGCAGCACAGGCATCGGGTGGCCATGTTGGTCGATTTGCCCCAGGCCCAGCGACGCCTGTAGCTGCTGCTGCGACGTCGGCGAATTATTCTGGCCCTGTTGCTGGGATTGTTGGAAGTGGCGAAGGCTCGAAGCAGTTACGTAGTCTCCTTTAGCCAAGGCTTGGTGCTGCATCAGATGGTGTTCTCCATGGTGATGGTCAGGGAAGAGCTCTGGTACAAATGAATAAAGTATCATGGTTGAAAACGCAAGCGAGATAAGACGGGCAGCTAACAGGACAGCATACAGGGAAAATGACAACACAACACTGCTGAGAGAGGCATCAAGGACGATATCGCAAACATAGGAACGATGCGCGAACCCGGGAAATAAAAAATGGCGAGTTAAAAGTTCTCAAATAGCATCCCCGAGCAAGAACCCAAATGGACCTGGAACACAGGCTGGGATGGAGAGGCCATTGATCCACGGTGGTAATAGTAACTTGCAGTACCTCCAGGCATTGCTGCTGCTGCTGCTGCTGCTGGAGGCTCAAATCCATAATCCGGGCCTTATAGCCTCTTTTCTTATGTACTCCAGCACTTGAAGCTTTCGAAAGGAGTGGCTATTTACGCTACGAAAGCTAAGACTGCGTGTTGCCGACGCCTAGTCCCGCTGGTTCGATTACTGGTGACCGCACGAGCAGGAGTTGGATTTCCTACGATGGGAACGGAGGAGAAACAAAACCTGTCACACAGATAGATAAATAAGGGAAGAAAACAAAATATGTTAAGATTACTTTCCGGGTAGTCTCTCAATCATGCTGCCTCCAACACGACGAAAGAAAAACATTGAGGCCTACGATGCACGCAGTCCACGGAAGGGATACGAATAACGATAACAGAGCCAGGAACGACGCAGCGTAATAGAGAACGACGGAGTAGACGACGCGAATCGAAGATCTAGGACACACGTTCACAAAGCAGGCATGGGTAAAACAGCAGAAGACTCGTTAATCGACACAAAGAAAAACTGATAAAGCAAAACCACACATGGAATTCCACGAAGTTAAGCGACAAATATACAAAACGACGTGGGAGGAAGACAATGCAGAGAAAAAAAGCCAGCGTTAGTTAAGATAAAATACGGATGCGAGCGAACAGCCAGAACGAGGCCCTTCCCACACTCAGGAGGATCCGTGTTAGGCGCTCGAGCAACCTATTTAGCATTCACAATAGGCGACATAGTCTAGTAGCTTCTATGTCCACCGAGCTGTAACTCACTATTCAGCAGCAAAAAAAATCACTGATCCGTTGCAGTAGGATTCGGGCCCGCTTCGGCTTCGCGCCTCATGCCGACAGGGAAGCCATGTGCAGACTGCTGGGCATGTCCTAGTGTCCGCGCGCCAGTGCTCCAGGGGAGGAGGGGACACGAAGCTCTGCGGCTAACCGGTAGTGCGGAATGGAAAACAAGGAGCGGAAAAACTGAGAGCGGTGAAATGAGAAGCGGATGGGAAAAGCGGGGAGCGGGAAGGGGACAGGAGGTTGGCTTGGGTGGGCTGGCTGGGCTGGGTGGGAGGGACTCGGGACGGGAATCGGGAGTTCCCGAAGGGATCACGGGAGACCCTTGGGCTTGCCGGAAGGGGAAGGGGAGAGCGGTGGGGTTTGGTAGGTTGAGGCCTCGGCAGAAGAGTGGCTTGGAGGGGAACACCAGAGCAAGGCGGAGGGAAAGCGAGGGTTTCGCCGCAGAAACGACAAGATAGGGGACCTCCTGGGGGCTTGCTCCGCGTCACCAGGGCACCAGTATCCAGATCGACGGCGGTGAGTGCACATCATTGCTGCCTGCCGAAATACACGGTGGGGTTTGTTTCGAAGTTCGAAACTCGGATCGAGAGGCATCGATATTGTGACACCATCTCAAAAGAACACATAAAGAAAGTTGCACTAATGTGCTGGCAGATTCTGAGAAGGGTTCACACATAAATATTGTAAGGACATAACTTCTCCTTACTTTGCATTGTCACCTCTATAGTGTACAACACTGTTCCCATCATTTTTCGCAAACGGTTTTTTTGTTACCATCTGGCCAGGGCCTCAGATTTCAGCGAAAAAAGGCTGATTTGGGTTAAAAAGGCTGAGATTTCAGACTTCTTTTGGAAGCAGGGCTGATTTTTCAGCCATTTTTCTGAAAGTAGCAGGAAAAGCTATGAGATTTATATCGTAAAATGGCATAAAATGACATATTTCTCTTATTTTCAGCGCAGATTTTTGTACGATCTCTGATTGATCAGCAAAGCCCAAAACCAATCTAAGGCCCTGCATCTGGTGATACTAGCTCCGACACTTTTCTCGCCACCAACACTGCGCGCCTGAATCATAGGGCTCGGTGTCAAATGTTGTAGCCTATAGTGAGGTTTGTCTTAGGGGGTACAAAACTTAGGGTTAGCTATATGTACCCCAACCAACATCAATGCACCATCCATTCTTCATTCTGACATGGTATCAGTTAGGTTAGGATCCTGTGGGATCCCGTTCCTCCGTTCTCCGTTCGAGCCTCCCGAGCCTGATCCTAGCTCTCATTCGTTCCGGTTCCGTTGTTACCGCGCGTAGTGCCGCGCCTAGCGCCACTCCTAGCGTCGCGTCCTGCCCGCCCTTTCCCCCTCGTCGCGTCCCTTTCCCCCCGTCGCGTCGCGCCCTTTCCCCCCAGTCGAGTCGCGCCCTTTCCCCCCGTCGCGTCGCGCTCTTTCCCCCCGTCGCGTCGCGCCCTTTCCCCCCGTCGCGTCGCGCCCTTTCCCCCCGTCCCGTCGCCCTGCCCCGTCCCGTCGCCCTGCCCCGTCCCGTCGCCCTCCCCCGTCCCGTCGCCCTGCCCCGTCCCGTCGCCCTTCCCCGTCCCGTCGCCCTGCCCCGTCGCGTCGCCCTGCCCCGTCCCGTCGCCCTGCCCCGTCCCGTCGCCCTTCCCCGTCCCGTCGCCCTGCCCCGTCGCGTCGCCCTGCCCCGTCCCGTCGCCCTGCCCCGTCCCGTCGCCCTTCCCCGTCCCGTCGCCCTGCCCCGTCGCGTCGCCCTGCCCCGTCCCGTCGCCCTTCCCCGTCCCGTCGCCTCTGCTCCGTCGCGTCGCCCTGCCCCGTCGCGTCGCCCTGCCCCGTCGCATCGCGCCCGCCCTTTCCCCCGTCCCGTCGACCCTACGCCCTAGCCCGTTCTTCCGCTGCGACTAAGTCCCCCCACCTGAACCCTAATTTGCCTCTTACCTCCTGCTGTTACTCGCCTGCTCGTTCGCGTTCGTTCTCGCTATGGCGACTCAGCGTGTCCTTCGTTTCGACGCTGACGGTAGACCTCTTGACTTTTCCGTCTGGCTTCTTCGCGCTCGCCGTCTGTTAGAGAGTCAAGTCCAGGGGGGCGAGACCCTCTGGTCGCACGCTACTGGTGACCTCCCCGAGCCCCCCGAGCCTGCCGCTTTAGGTCCTGCCCCTGACGATGCTGCTACGGCTCGCTTTGCCCGTCAGCGCGCTGACAGGACGGCTTGGACGTCGCGTGACGCTGCGGCCTGCATCGCACTCAGCAGCCTCCTCCCTGAGTCAGAGGAGGTCCACTTCACTCAGGTTCGCACCGCTGCTGCGTACCTCACTGCGATTAAGGCCCGCTACTCTACTCCCGCTACTGTCTCTCTTGGCCGTCTTTTCCTCCCGTTCCTGTTTCCTGATCTCGCCTCGTTTGAGCGCTCTGCTGACTTGATCGCTCACCTCCGCTCGCTCGACGCTAGTTACCGCGCTGCTTGCACTGAGGCACAGCTTGCACTGCTTCCTCCCCCTATGGCGATTACTATCTATTTCATCGCCACTAGCCTCCCTGACCGCCTTGCCTCCGTTCGCGACGCGCTTCTGCTGAAGCACCCTAGTGAGCTCACCGTCGATGTCCTTGAGTCTGCACTCAAGGACGTCGAGAGCAACCTTCGCTCGGTAGCCGCTGCCTCTGGTGCTGTGCCCCCCCCACTCTTCCACGGGTGCACAGTCCCGCAGTTACCCACCTTTACTGCCTCACTTGCCACTGCCGCTACTGACGCGACTGCAGCTGCTGTTACGACTGCGTCGCGGTCCCGCGGTAGGAGTGGCAAGAAAGGCGGTTCTGGTGGTGGTAGTGGAGGTGGAGGCGGAGGTAGTGGAGGTGGCGTTGCGCCTGGCGGCGGTGGAGGTTCAGGGCCTGGAGAGGCGCCTCGTGCAGTGACTGGTGACTCCACTGCGCCTGCTAGTGGTGGCGACGCCCGAGTTCGTCAGTCGCCTCCTGTACTTCCTGCCCCGGTTGGTGGAGCAGCGGCGTGGTACCAGGCTCAGCGTCAGCAGCAGCTTCTGCAGCACCAGCAGCCCCTCTCCTCCCAGCAGCCTCAGCAGCAGCAGCGGCAGCAGCTGGCTCCAGGGTCGGGGCTGCGTCAGACCCAGCGCGGTGCTGCTTACACTCCCTGCACCTACCAGGTTCTGACAGGCACTCGTCGTGGCCACCCTTGTGGCCGGTTTCACCCCCCTGGTCAGTGCTTTGCTCAGCTCACTGACACGGTTCGTTTGGTCTACGGGGTTGGTGCTCCTGCCCCTGACTGGCTGCCTCTTGTTCAGCGCTACGGCTCCGCTCTGTGGGGCATGTCTGCTGAGCAGTTAGTTGATCTGATTGGTACTCCCCATGCTATGTATGCTGTTGTTGACTCTAGTGTTTCTGACTCTGCTTACTCTGGTGTTGTTAGCTTAGGTGCTAGCCTTGCTCAGTTGCCTGTTGCTAGTGTAGGTTCTTGTGTAGACTCTAGTCCAGCGGCTACCTCAGAGGACGGTTCGCTGTCGTTCACGCTGGACTCTGGAGCCTCTCACTGCTTCTTTCGTGACAGCACGACACTTACGCCTCTTCCTGCGCCTGTTTCTGTGGCGCTGGCTGATCCCACTTCGGGACCAGTCACTGCGCGTCACACTACCACCTTGCCGTGTCCGGCTGCTCCTTCTGGGTCTCTCACTGGGTTTCACGTCCCCTCGTTCTCCCGGAACTTGGTGGGCGTGCGACCCCTCGTGAGTCAGCACGTGGGTGTGTGGTTTGAGCCTTCTGGAGAGACTGCGGTGTGTGTTGACGGGGACTCTTACCAGCCCCTCGCCACTTTTGCTGCTGAGCCGGGCTCCGGTCTCTACACTCTTCACACTGGCCCGCGCGCTCAGCAGCGACTGCAGCAGCAGCAGCAGCCGCAGCAGCAGCAGCAGCAGCAGCAGCCGCAGCAGCAGCAGCGGCAGCAGCCGCAGCCGCAGCCACAGCGGCCGCCGTCGCAGCGGCCACTCCTCCCAGTTCCTGTCCCTCCCCCTAGTCTCCTCCCTGCGTCTCACCAGGTGGTTCCGTCCCCTCAGGTTGTCGCGTCCAGTCCAGTCGCTGCGTCTTGCTCCTGTCGGTCGCTTGCCCACCCCACCGTTCTGTGGCACCACCGGATGGGACACCCTTCTCTTCCACGTCTGCGTGCTATGTCT